CCCTGCTAGATGCAGTTTACTTTTTTTCTTGGTAAAAATGGCATTTGGTTATGTGAACAAGGATCTGAATATCAACTAGGAGATAAGGATAATATCAATTTTTTATTGGCAATTGTAGGGTTGATAATTTTTCAGTTTGAATCTAGTTCATCCAATATTCATTTTTGAGCTTGTTTTTGTTTATAATGTCAGGATTGAGGTATAACTCAGTTTAATAGTTTTTGGCTTTTAGTTCCTTTTTGTTAAATTGCGAATGGTTAAAAACTGACTGTTCTAATTTAAGAAATGTGGCTGAGACTTGTCAGGTTAAAGGTTTTCCTTTGACAGATTCAGTAGAACTGGTAGATTGTGAAATGGCATTTCATTCTTGTCATCCAAACTTTTTTGGTGCAAGATTAATCGGATACTTTCTTTGGCATGAGTTATTTGTTTTTATAATTTGACACTTAATATGGTTCTTCATGAATTTGTTTGAGCCACTTAGGGCAAGTGAAGCCCAGGTTCTAAGGAGGGTTGAAGCTGTTGAATGCTGCTTATTGTCTGTGTAGAATCTAGATTCTCATATTGATCCTTAAATCAATCAAAACTAGATACATTTATCAAGTTAGTTATTCAGCCTGACTTAGTTGCAAAGTTAGAGAGCTTACTACTAGAAGTGACTAATGTTATTTTAATATGATGAATATTCTTCGAGCAAATACCAAGTCCGATGAAAGTGTAGCTTGTCACGAGGAAAATATTGCTCTCTGACAATTCAAAAGTAATTTAGTCCTAGATTCAAGGAGACATCATAGGAGCACTTCATTCAAAGGCAGTTTGAATATAGTTGCTTGGGTATGGATAAATTTTGTTTGTGGTTTGCTCATGAGCTAAGGGTTGAAGTTGTTGGTTCATTATTCATGGTCGTGCCAGTCAAGTATATAAACTCACAAAAGCTGACATGTAATTGTTTTTCTTTTCCTGTCAAGTTACGTGAATTGAGGTGTGTCTTCATCATGATGCTCATAACCTGCAGGTGAAGAAGGAGAAAGAGAGAGAGGAAAGAGAGAAGCGGAAAACAAAGCATGGAAGGGAGAAGGAGAGAGGACGTGAAAGAGAGAAAGATTATGTAAAGGATGACATTGCAGACACTGAAGATGTTGATATGACTGAGTCACATGTCTGCAAGGAGAACAAAAGATTGGGCAAGGACAGTGATAAGAAACACCGGAAACGACATCAGAGTGCCAGAGATAGTTCAAATGAGAATGAGAAAGAGCATACAAGGAGTTCCCATAGGCATGGCAGTGACCATAAAAAGTCAAGACGAGTATGATGCTACTTTCCTTTTCCTTACAAGGGAGATCTGGTCTTGCTTTCTCCTGCATAACTTTTTCTTAATGGTGGTTCTGTAGCATGCATCAACACCTGAATCAGATGGTGAAAGCCGACGTAGGAGACATAGAAGAGATCATCGAAATGGTTCTCATAAAAATGGTGATCACAACGAGCTTGAAGATGGAGAATATGGTGAGGATAGGGAAAATTGATAGTTATTTGTCATATAAATTAATTCTTTTTGGTTTTCCCCATGGTCAATACCTCCGTGATGGGAAATGTTTCTTTTCTCCAAACATACATGAGTATGATTGTGGCATAATTGTGACGAGGATTGCATTAGCTTATTGCTAATTCAGTTGCATATTTTCTTGACACTTGCCAATTTTCTGAATAACATTGTAAAATGAATTCAGAACTTGCTTTAGTTGTCATCTAATTTTATTGACGGCTCTTTAAGATGAAGTTACCTCTTTTGAATTTTGTCAAAAAAAAAAAAAAAACATGAATTGAACATTTGGTTTTTTGGTTTCTCTCTTTTGTGGCTGCCATAGCAATTATTTCACTGAGGTTCAGTTTCTTTTTACTCCTTTTGTTAATTTTCAATTTGATCTTCCTCAGCCTCATATCTTATTAAATACATTGGAGACCTCGAGGACAACCAATTAAATATTAACTACTTTTGTACTCGTGGCATGAAATTTTATTTGGTTGTGTAAAGTTTAAAATGTCAAGAAGCTCAATCTATTTGTCAAGCTCTCATATTAAATTGGTACAACTTTTTCTTGCCATAAAAATATTTTGTCTGGGGAGAGAATGACGCCTTTGCTCTTTGAAAAAAAAAAAAAAAGACACCTTTCCATTTCTTGACTACGAACCTTGTACTTGTTGACTCGCAAATAGTTCTTGGA